CCTGCAGTGCTGCTTTTAACCACTGCGCCACCTTGGCTCTTGCAAAAAGCCGCACTGCTTGGATCTGCACGCATATTACGAAAATACGTTAAAACGTCCTAGGCCCCTGGGTGGGGCCCGACTAGTAACCAATGCCAAATCCGGCGAAACAACTGGCCGCTGTGATACAATTGTATAATAATAATAATAATGAAGGACCCTTTTTAACAAGCAAATAAGTTTGTTCTATTATTTAATATTTGAATATTGTGTCCACTAATCATTTTGTTTTTCACTTTCAGTTCCATATACGTGTATTGAAACTTTTTTTTAGTAGATGAGCTAGCTTTTTAGGGAGGAGTAATATCCAGTTTCAAATAATGCAAATTCAAAGAAGGCAATGTATTCTGAAATCACAAATGTGTATTTTACTGATATAATTTGTCCAAAACCAAGCACCAAAATATAAAAAGGAATTAAGATGATATATGGATTTTGGATACGGAATGTTCAATGAATTGTTAATGCCTTTTTTCTTTTACTTATATAGTACTGCTACGGTCATAATATAGTAATGATGGTTTCATATCCTTTTCCCCCCTAGATATGGATCACTGCACATTCTTATAACCCTGAGTAAAATTAAGAGTATAATCAATTGTGATGATTCACCTGGGAACATAAGGCTCTGCTGGAGGTGGTGGTATGTAGAGGTCCTGGAGGGCTGAGCTGTCTCTTTTAGTAGGTGTGCTGACAGTACTGGATGGTGTTGCCACACTGCTTGTAGGACTTCTAGATACAAGTGGCTGGTTAAAACAAAGCAAAATTATTTAAAGTCATATCTATGTCACAATTTTTATGTTACAATAAATATAATCTCTATATTGGAAAAAAGTGATGTTAATAAATTAAGAAACATCAGATTCAGCTTAACTGGGGAGAACTTTTCAATATTGTACATTTTTAACTGCTGCCCTTCTCCATTTATATGTTGCAGATTTCCTGTACTGGAACATATGTTCTTCATGCCTTAAAATCAAATCCAATATAAATTGATCTATAAGTACTCCCAACATGACATATTTTGATTTTTTGAATTAATAGAAATCACATATTAAAATATTGTTTTACCTATATTATACTTTATGTTCTTACTATCATTTAATTACTCTATCTTAACTTATCTTTACTGACTCCTATCTTATCACTAACTTTCAACTACAACATTATTTTACATTTCCCTATTTCTTATTTCTGTCCTCTAACCATTTACAGTATACCATTTTCCCCAAATTAAATAATATTCTGATTCCTCCTTTCCTTGTATTTCCTTCATCAATTTGTCCATCTCGGCACATTCTAAAATCTTTCTTATCACCTCTTCTTCCTTTGGTACTGCATTGTTTTTCCGATTTTGGGCCGATGTCATTCTGGCCACAGTTATAATATGTAGGATTAGATACAGAATTTCTCTGCTATACTTTTTTGTGGTTATACCTAATAGAAATATTTCCAGCTTCCAGTCTATATGATCCCCTGTTATTTCTTCAAGCCATTTTTTAATTGTGGTCCATAATTTTTTTGCAATCTCCCATGTCCACCACGTATGGTAGTAAGTCCCGTATGATTTTTTGCACTTCCAACACATCTGTGATATATTTGGAAACATCTTTGCAAGCCTCACAGGAGGGAGGTGCCATCTATAAAACATCTTGTATTGGTTTCCTTGTACGCTGCCAACATGGTCAATTTCAAATTTATTTCCCAAAGTTTTTCCCATTTCTCCAGCTCTATATTATACCCAAAGTTTTTTGCCCACCTTATCATTGTTTCTTTGACAACTTCATCTTCCATTTTATACCTCAGCAAAAATGTGTATATTTTCCTATTCAATTTTTTTCTCTGTGCTTTGTAGTTTTATCTAGTTCATGTTGCTCCAACTGAAATCCATACTTTTTGATATCACTATTATATCTGGATTGGATTTGTATGTATGCAAGCCAATCTATATTTACACCCTGGTCTTTTAATTCTTGTATGGTTTTCAAATTCCCCAGGTCTTTTATTAAATCTTTATATCTCAGTAGTTTATCCATATCTATAAAATTTGAGTGTTTCAATGCTTCTCTTGTGGATAGTCAATTTGGTATTTTAGTATAGTGGTTTATTTTAATTTTTTGCCAAATCTGTAACAAAGCATTCCTGATTAGATGTCTTTGAACATATGTGTGGGATCTATTTTTTTCATCCCAGATGAATGTGTGCCATCCTACCTGCAGGTCATGTCCTTCTAATGTCAAGATTCTCTTATTTTTTAACACTATCCATGCCTTAGTCCATGTTAATGCTGTTACCTGATAATACAGTTTCCAGTCTGGGAGCGATAAGCCTCCTTTTTCTTTACTATACTGTAGTAGTTTTAATTTAATCCTTGGCTTTTTGCCCTGCCATATGTATTTTGTCATTAATTTATTTAAGTCATGGTAGAATGATTTCACTGGTTTTATTGGTGTATCTTGAAATAAAAATAGTATTCTTGGCAATATGTTCATTTTAATCATGCCTATGCATCCAGTGAGTGACAGTTGCAATTTTTTCCAATTCTCTAAATCTTTTTTATTTGTTGTATTAGTTTGCTATGATTGTCCTCCTTAATTGAGGAGCATTTTGCCAATAATCAGATTTCTAAATATTTAAATTTCTTGAGTATTTGCATTTCAGTCTTTTCCTCCAATTCTTTCTCTTGTTTTTTCATGATGTTTTTTATTATTTTTGTTTTACTTTTATTAATTTTTAAACCCGTCACCTCACCAAATTCTTCTATCTTCTGAATTAATTTAGGTCCTGATTCCAATGATTCTTCCAATGTGAATACTAGGTCATTGGCAAAGGCTTGGATTTTATATTCTTCTTTTTTAACTTTTAGGCCTTTTATCTCCTGATCTTTTCTAATTTTGGTTAGGAGTGTTTCTAATGTTAGAATAAAGAGAAATGGAGAGAGTGGGCATCCTTGTTTTACTCCTTTTGTTATCTCAAATATTTCTGTAATATCCCCGTTCATGAGCACTCTTGCTGATTGATTTGTGTATGTTTTTTTCTATCATTTTTACCAATTTCCCTCTGAATTTCATGATTTCTAATTGTGAGATTATGAATTTCCAATTTACATTGTCAAAAGACTTTTGGGCATCAAGGAAAACCAGTGCAATTTGTTTCTCAGGTTTTGTAATATTCTAGGACATTTATTATGGTTCTCATATTATTTTTAATCTGTCTATTTGGAAGAAAGCCATTTTGATCTGGATGAATGTGTTCATTTAGAATTCTTTTAACCCTTTCTGCTATTATTGAGGTGAATATTTTATAATCTGTGTTCACTAGCGATATGGATCTATAGTTTTGGATTTTCTGTTGGTCTGATTCTTCTTTTGGGATGAGGGTTATCATTGCTTCAGTCCATGATTCTGGTATTTTGGCTTATTCTAGGGCTTCATTGCGTACTTCTAATAGTGACCCTTCTAGTATTTCTTGTGAGTTCTTGTATAATTCGACCGGAATTCCATCTGGATCTGGTGTTTTATTGTTTTTCTCTTTTTTCAGTGCCATCCCTAACTCTGTTATTGTGATTGGTCTATTTAACATCTCTCTATGTTCATCTGCAATTTGGTTTATAGTTGCTGCATCTAGGTATTATTTAATCTTGTCTTCTACTATATTATCTTGGAGACAAAGTTTTGTGAAATACTTTTGTATTATGTTCTTTTTTTCTTCCCCTCTATGATGTATTACTCCTTCATCATCTAATAATTGGTGTGTGGATGTATGTGTGTGTGTGTGTTTGTGTGTTTGTATGTGTGTGTGTTTGTTTTTTCAATGTATGCTAACCAACGTCCAGGTTTATTTGTATGTTCAAAATAGTTTTGTTTAGCTGTTTTAATCTTCTGGGTTAGCTCTTCCTGTACTGTTAAATTCTTGGATTTTCAAGTAATTTGCTGTGTTCTCTCTTGATATTTACTTCTTGGAGACATATCACATCAATACCCAGTTTCCATAATTTTGTAAAGGTTTGCATTCTTTTCCTTGGTGAGTTTAGTCCATTTATGTTTATTGAAATTATTGTACTTTCCTCTTCCATTTTTACTTGTATTGTTTTCTTGTGTTTCTGGTTTCTCTTTGTACTCTTCCTCTTGCACCTTCCCATTCCACATGTTCCCTCTCTTGTATCCTTTTTTCTTCTCTCTCCTTCTCTTTTACTTCTATTAGGTCTTCTTGACTTTTACTTTCCACCTCTTCTTTGCTTTCTTGATCCTCCTCAGTCACAAAATGGTGTTCAAAAAACTATTGTGCTTTTTTCACTGAGTCTATTTTTTTTTCTTGCCATGTAATCAAGATACCTTCTGGCACTAACCATCTGTACATGACTTGTATTTGGCCAGTTGAGTTGTTAGAAATTGATATTGCCTTCTTTGGTCTCTCACTCTTTGTGGTATTTGGTTCAATGTTATTATTTCTTTTCCTTTGTCTGTTATTGTCTCCTCTGATTTTTTTATATATTTTGTCTCTGATCGTTCCTTTTACAGATCTCATATCTACGTCTTTAGGTAACCTGTGTCTCTGTCAGTGGTGGGTTATGACTGGTACGCCCGATACGGGCATACCGGTGCCTGCCGGGAGCACCGGGTACTGTTCCGGTATAGTGCTCTGGAGGGCCTAACCACCCACCCTCCTTACTGGTATTTGACTCTTCAGCGCTTTCGTGCCTTTGCGGCGTTCCACCGAGCAGCTGGAGCATCACGGAGGCATCATGGAGTGTCACAGGAGGTAAAGACGCATGCATGCACATGCGACCATGTGGCGCACATTCATGTGGTGGACGCCAGGTCCCATTGCACTGTACTGGTTGCAAAGGGATCCAGAACCCACCACTGGTCTCTGTGCATAATTTGTGTGCACTCTGTATACTTCATTGATATCTCTTGCTTGTCTTTCTGTAGAATTTCTGCGAGAATCTCTGCTATTTCCCCCCCCCCTCCGCCCAGTCCTCCTTCTCTTCCATAATATTTCAAAATCTGAGATAAATGAAGCCTTCTCCATCTCAAGGAAGGTGATGGCTTATTTGACATCTCTGTTTACTAGCATACATTTTTGTTCTATTGTTTCTATTTTTTGATCAAATTGTTCTATTTTTGTTTCTACCTTTTTTATCCTCTGTTCATTCTCTGTAATGAACTGTTGAATGTTCTCAATTTTATCATCCATACTTTTAATATCTCCTTCCATTTCAGTTTTTACCATTTCTTCATGGTATTTTTTTGTTACTTCATGGTTATTTGCTATTGCCTCTTGTGTCTTCGCCATTGATTCCTGGATCATTAGTAATGTTCTGAATATTCAATGTTGATCCTGATTTTTCCACCCCCAATACGCTCTCAATTGACATCTGGTCTGAGGGTGACAATGTTGCTGATGCTGAGTTTGAGGCTGCTTTTTTTCCTATTTTAGTTAAGGTGGTTGTACATGTCATTTTTATCACTTGGCTGATGTTATCCTACAGTAACATGCAGTTATAATCAATCAAGTCTCACTTTTTTCAAGTTCTGTATCAACCTTCAATTTACTATTTCCAATATATCTTACAGACACTGAATTTATATAATATTAAATCAATATTTTGCTTACAATCTATTCAATTATCTAATTTATCTAGTATATACAATATTCAAGGAAATCTACTAAGTACACTGTGAGATTAGCTCTAAAAATGTAATCTTAATAAATTCTATATCTTTATATATATAACAATAGT